CTGTAGGATAAGTACTGTGAAATACAATGAGCAGTGCACTTTCTCTTCCCTTTTCTAAGAGCAATAGGGAGATCAAGGTTATCTGTAACAGTGTTAGTAGGACCAATGGGAACTGAAATAGTAGTGGGATCAAGAGGAATACCTGAATCCGTATCAGCCGAATCTGGAGTCTCCAAGGGATCGACAGGAAGTGGTATGAGTTCTGCTGTAGTGGAATCAACCKCCTTATGAAGTCTCTGCCGTGAGTAATGCTGTGAGACGGAATGCAAAGGAGGTGGCAAGGTAGGTGACATCGGGTGGTGGTCAAGCACAGGAGGGACTGGAACTGGGAGAGGGATAGACTGCTGACTTACTTCCTCAAAACACTCCCCCTGAGAAGGATTCCTTGAGAAGAACTACGTAGATTCGAAAAAGGTAATGTCCATAGTAACAAACCGGTTCCCAGAGACTGGATCATAGCAGTGGTACCCTTTCTGATTCTCTACATATCCAAGGAAGACACATTTCTTTGCCTTGGGATCAAGCTTCGAACGGTAAGGACCAAGGATATGCGCAAAGYAGACACACCCAAACACCCTTAGAGGAATATGAAACATCTCCCCCTGAGGAAAAAAGAAGGCTGAATGGAGTGCTGAATCCAAGTATACGAGAAGGCACCCTGTTAATCAGATATACTGCCGTGAGAACTGCATTACCCCAAAAATGAACCCGAACTGTAGCTATGATCATCATGCTTCTTGTCGTTTCAACAATGTGTTTGTTCTTCCTCTCTGCAACACCATTTTGTTGTGGACTGTAGGAGCAACTACTCTGATGGACAACACCATACTCCAACAGATATGAGGCAAGATGTCTCTCAAAATATTCCCTAGCATTGTCAGATCTGAACATCTTTATTCTCATTCCAAACCGTGTTAGTACCATCTGGTGGAATTGCTTCACCAAGGATGGTACTTCATCGTGGGATTTCATCAGGTAAATCCAGGAATATCGAGAGAAATCATCCACAGACAGGAGAAAGTAGCGATAGCCGCCCATAGAGAGAACATGATAAGGGCCCCACACATCCGAATGAATAACATCAAAAGGAGAAGAACATCTTTTATTACTAGGTTTAAAAGAGTGTCTACAATGCTTTCCAAGTTCACAACCTTCACACTTCAAACTTGACAGACTCACAGACTCAAACAGTTTTGGAAACAAAGAACTCAAAGAAGAAAAAGACAAATGATTATGCCATAGTATAATCTGATCCACAGATTTTGACTCACTGTCCCTGCAAACATGATGGCTTTGGTGAAGAGGAAGAGCATCTAGGAGGTAGATTCCATTCACTTCACGACCACTCCCAATCGCCCTATTTGAATCCAGATCCTGCAAAATACAGCGTCTAGGAGAAAAAAATTATTGAGCAGTTCAGATTCTTAGTTAAACTACTAACAGATAATAAATGGGTGCTCAATCTAGGCACATGGAGGACAGAGGGTAAACAAATGGAATCATTAATCTTGACAGATCCCTTCCCAGCAATAGGAACATGGGATCCATCAGCTGTGGAGACCCTATCTCTG